ACACACTTACATTCTCTTCTTTCATTGAGAGGGAAAACTTCTGTGTGGGTCTGGTGAGAGCATTATTAAACACATAAGGAGCATGGACATCTTACACTAAGATATACCACCAAAAGCAAACAGTTTCATCAAGTGGAAAAGGAATGGACACTTGTAACAATAGACAGCCTGCTATTGGATATTTTAAATTGCAATAGCCAATACCAGGCTGGCTATTGTACCCCCCCCCCATTGCCTGCTGTCAATCAGCAGAGAGGACCTGATTGAGAACTTAGTCTTCAGTTCCCTCCTTTGCTGATTGACAGCAGGCAGTGGGCGGGTACAATAGCCAGCCTGCTATTGGCTATTGCAATTTAAAATATCCAATAGCAGGCTGGCTATTGCTCCCAGCAACTGCCTGCTGTATTTACATTCAGTGAATCCAGTGAAGTAGAAAGGTGACACTAGAGGTCTAAAAGACCCCTAATGTCACCTTAAAGAGAACCTGTCACCTCCAATGCACGCAGCACTGGTGAGAAACTGCCCTAAAATCATTAGTCTGTATTGTTTTAGAAAAAATGTCACATGTCCCTTTAAAAGTATCGGTAATTGGAATAGGCAAGTACATGAGGGACAGTACTTGTACTTGAAAAAGTGGTATCGGGATAGCCCCAGTAAAAATGTAATCTCCCAGACTAATTTTTGGCATGCTGAGATTATCAGTAATTGTGGTAGTATTTGTCAACCTGATAATACTGAGCTCATCACCGTGCAGTACAAATTTTACATGAGATTTAGAATTAGTGTTAGAAGTCAGATTTAGGTTAAACGTAGGCTTACTGGTTAAGGTGTGTTTAAAGCAGGCAACATTACACTTCATGTACTAAGTTTAGAAAGAATCGAAGAGGTACCCAAATGTTTGAGAGCAAAGGATTTAATGTATTTATAAAAACCTGAATGAGGATGCAATAAACATTGAATAGAGGAGTTGAGATATGTTTTAGCCCCAAGCAGATCAAAAAGTTAGCTATACATATTAACCTTTGCTTTTGATCTCTCCTTTCCTATAACATTTCCATACTATTTATTGTGTGCCAACATGGTCTCTGTTAGCTGCTTTATCAATATTGTAAAATAAAAATCCAGTACAGTCTAAATCCAGTACAGTTCCATGACTGCACGGTCATTGTGCACGAAACCGAGCGGATGACTGGGCAGTCACAGATCGCACACCACCGCCGATCGCGCTGGCAGTGCCATTATTTTCTATTGGCACCCCAGTCGTGTCAGGCAGATTGCACGGTTTACTTCCGCAATACCGCCCGGGCGGTCCCACGCAATCACGGTTGAAAACACTGTGCGGTGGGTGTCGCGAAAAAAGGTACATGTACCTTTTTTCAGCGATTGCCATGCAGATGTAACCCCAGACATGTGGACGCAACCGCTGTATGCAACCGCACATGATCGCGCGTCCCGGGATTGGCCAAGTCTGCACCAACCCTAAAGGGTAAATTCACTTTCCCAAGTAATTTTGGCAAATGGAATTACCCGCACAAATCTCCCTCCCACTATACTTACCTTTCGGCGAACGGTCCTTCCCGTCCACCAGTACGGGTGTACTATCTGTACCTGTTCCGTATATTGTGAATTTCGCTCGCAAATTGCAAGCACTCATTGGTCAACGCGGCCACCTGACGACGCTGACCAATGAGAAGCGCTTCTTAGCACTGCTAAATACGGTTTTGGTTAAAATTATTTTTTTGCATCAGGACAAGTAGATTGTTACGAGGGACAAGTAGATCGGGCCCCCACTTTAGTCCTTGGACAAGTAGTTTTTTCTAAAATTTCCACACCCCTGACAACTATAGTCAAGAGAAAATCAATAAACCAATAAAATATATGTTATTTAACTTAAAGAAATGGTAATTTCAGAAAACTAAAACTGGAAGCTTCCCAGCACCTCCAGTTCGCATCACTAATCAAAAGCATTGGTTTTGTAAGTGTCTGCTTTGCCACAGTTCACACATACTTTGTATGTTGATGACTATGTTAGTTAGCTTTTCTGTCAAATAGCACATCCAAAAAACAGAAACATAGATAAGCAACTATGCTTTTTGCATATTACCGACCTGTTCCCTTAGGCCTTGTTCACACCAAATGCAGAGCAGATCCGGTCAGGTTTCTGCACACACACGCTAGTCTTTTAGATGCATTTTTGATGCGTTTTTGGCACAAAAAAAAAGCATTTTTAAAAACGTTTAAAATGGGCTTTCAGTGCGTTCCAGGCATTTGCATGCGTTTTTGATGCGTTTGCAGATTCAGAGCAGGTAAAATAGGGCCTGCTGCATTTTTTTCCACCTGCTCTGGAACTGCACGCTGCGATGTGAACTGGAGCAAAAAATACCATAGGAATACATTGGACGCAGTTTTGATCCGGTCTGCAACTGATCTGCTCTGCACCTGCTCCGCGCTTGGTGTGAACAAGGCCTTAAGGGCAATCAAATTGGGTGATTCAACTTTTTAGAATATGAAATAATCGTTTTCAGCACATTGCGTTAAACGGTACCTGTACATTTTTTTTCAAGAATACAAGTTTAGGTAATAAAAAAAAACAAAAGGTAAATGATTTTGTTTCTTTACCTGTGTGCTTGGTTGTTAAAATTTAGTGCGCCAGTTTGATGAAGCTCCTCCAAGTGCTTACGGTTTCCAAAATACAGTGCAAGATCTGTGGCAATGATGGCTTTGCGTATTATCTCTAGCACTTGTTCGTACTCCGTAGAACTCAAATTGGAGAAAATATTGTGCCCTTCCAGCTATGTGAAACAACAAAACATAGATAAAAAGCACAATGTCCTATGTTTTGGATGTAACGATAAACGTTATCTTAGCTTCACTGTAGCCTTTTTCAGTAGCATAGTACTATATAAAGCAAGTATAGGGTTTATGAAATGGTGGTTACAAATGCAAAGGAGAAATGCTGAACTACTGAAGTAAAAATCTATATCGATAGATAGATAGATAGATAGATAGATAGATAGATAGATAGATAGATAGATAGATAGATAGATAGATAGATAGATAGATAGATAGATAGAGATAGATAGATACAGAGGAGATAAAAAAATTCTACTTCACATTTTAATTATAGGATTGCCTTAAATGAATGCTGACGAGTGGTTTGCCCTTATATTTGCTTGGGGATATTTCAAGCAAATGTAACCAGACCAAAACATGCCAGCAAGTTGTGCAAAAAAAAAGATTCAAAAATAACTATATGGACACTACAAAACACAAATACAAAAATTGTATGTATACTATAAAATACCCTTTAAACCTTTAATACCCTTTAAACACATTTAAGAAAATGTGTATAGAATAAAATATGTAGGCTGCTATTGTCGACCATCTAAAAGGGTAACTGCTTGGCTGGGTCATACTGACCCTCTGGTTTTGGTCAGTGACTCAAAAACAGTAGAAGCCAAACATGCTACAAGAGATGGTAGGCCCCTGAATCAACTTCACAACTTAGCAAATAACATTTTCAGAAGGTGAGACCAGCAAAGCAGGCTACATATACAGTATCTTTCAGTGCATATTTCCTTTTACTTTGAATATGCAGTAAAGTATGCAGAAAAAGTTACTCTGGATAGTTAAAGGCAAACAAATTACTATTATCAAAAGAATATATTAAGGAATGACTTTCTTTTATAGTATGTCGCAATCACGGTTGAAAACACTGTGCGGTGGGTGTCGCGAAAAAAGGTACATGTACCTTTTTTCAGCGATTGCCATGCAGATGTAACCCCAGACATGTGGACGCAACCGCTGTATGCAACCGCACATGATCGCGCGTCCCGGGATTGGCCAAGTCTGCACCAACCCTAAAGGGTAAATTCACTTTCCCAAGTAATTTTGGCAAATGGAATTACCCGCACAAATCTCCCTCCCACTATACTTACCTTTCGGCGAACGGTCCTTCCCGTCCACCAGTACGGGTGTACTATCTGTACCTGTTCCGTATATTGTGAATTTCGCTCGCAAATTGCAAGCACTCATTGGTCAACGCGGCCACCTGACGACGCTGACCAATGAGAAGCGCTTCTTAGCACTGCTAAATACGGTTTTGGTTAAAATTATTTTTTTGCATCAGGACAAGTAGATTGTTACGAGGGACAAGTAGATCGGGCCCCCACTTTAGTCCTTGGACAAGTAGTTTTTTCTAAAATTTCCACACCCCTGACAACTATAGTCAAGAGAAAATCAATAAACCAATAAAATATATGTTATTTAACTTAAAGAAATGGTAATTTCAGAAAACTAAAACTGGAAGCTTCCCAGCACCTCCAGTTCGCATCACTAATCAAAAGCATTGGTTTTGTAAGTGTCTGCTTTGCCACAGTTCACACATACTTTGTATGTTGATGACTATGTTAGTTAGCTTTTCTGTCAAATAGCACATCCAAAAAACAGAAACATAGATAAGCAACTATGCTTTTTGCATATTACCGACCTGTTCCCTTAGGCCTTGTTCACACCAAATGCAGAGCAGATCCGGTCAGGTTTCTGCACACACACGCTAGTCTTTTAGATGCATTTTTGATGCGTTTTTGGCACAAAAAAAAAGCATTTTTAAAAACGTTTAAAATGGGCTTTCAGTGCGTTCCAGGCATTTGCATGCGTTTTTGATGCGTTTGCAGATTCAGAGCAGGTAAAATAGGGCCTGCTGCATTTTTTTCCACCTGCTCTGGAACTGCACGCTGCGATGTGAACTGGAGCAAAAAATACCATAGGAATACATTGGACGCAGTTTTGATCCGGTCTGCAACTGATCTGCTCTGCACCTGCTCCGCGCTTGGTGTGAACAAGGCCTTAAGGGCAATCAAATTGGGTGATTCAACTTTTTAGAATATGAAATAATCGTTTTCAGCACATTGCGTTAAACGGTACCTGTACATTTTTTTTCAAGAATACAAGTTTAGGTAATAAAAAAAAACAAAAGGTAAATGATTTTGTTTCTTTACCTGTGTGCTTGGTTGTTAAAATTTAGTGCGCCAGTTTGATGAAGCTCCTCCAAGTGCTTACGGTTTCCAAAATACAGTGCAAGATCTGTGGCAATGATGGCTTTGCGTATTATCTCTAGCACTTGTTCGTACTCCGTAGAACTCAAATTGGAGAAAATATTGTGCCCTTCCAGCTATGTGAAACAACAAAACATAGATAAAAAGCACAATGTCCTATGTTTTGGATGTAACGATAAACGTTATCTTAGCTTCACTGTAGCCTTTTTCAGTAGCATAGTACTATATAAAGCAAGTATAGGGTTTATGAAATGGTGGTTACAAATGCAAAGGAGAAATGCTGAACTACTGAAGTAAAAATCTATATCGATAGATAGATAGATAGATAGATAGATAGATAGATAGATAGATAGATAGATAGATAGATAGATAGAGATAGATAGATACAGAGGAGATAAAAAAATTCTACTTCACATTTTAATTATAGGATTGCCTTAAATGAATGCTGACGAGTGGTTTGCCCTTATATTTGCTTGGGGATATTTCAAGCAAATGTAACCAGACCAAAACATGCCAGCAAGTTGTGCAAAAAAAAAGATTCAAAAATAACTATATGGACACTACAAAACACAAATACAAAAATTGTATGTATACTATAAAATACCCTTTAAACCTTTAATACCCTTTAAACACATTTAAGAAAATGTGTATAGAATAAAATATGTAGGCTGCTATTGTCGACCATCTAAAAGGGTAACTGCTTGGCTGGGTCATACTGACCCTCTGGTTTTGGTCAGTGACTCAAAAACAGTAGAAGCCAAACATGCTACAAGAGATGGTAGGCCCCTGAATCAACTTCACAACTTAGCAAATAACATTTTCAGAAGGTGAGACCAGCAAAGCAGGCTACATATACAGTATCTTTCAGTGCATATTTCCTTTTACTTTGAATATGCAGTAAAGTATGCAGAAAAAGTTACTCTGGATAGTTAAAGGCAAACAAATTACTATTATCAAAAGAATATATTAAGGAATGACTTTCTTTTATAGTATGAGATCACTTTGATAGCCTTGTTTGATAATGTCTACATATTTTATAATACAGTATAAACCAAGTATTTGTGCTTAGAGGTAGTGTTAAAGTAAGAAGCATCAGACTGGTCATATAATGAGAAAGCCGTCAGCAAGTCCAGAGATAGATCTGAAGTTGTATGTAAATGCTACCATTTCCTGTATAAGTTAAAGTATTCATAAAGTCAACAGAAAAAAATCATAGCACATTATTCAAAATCATTTTCTCAAGCTCTATTAAGACTTTTTTTTTTTAGATATTTTACACATCCTACTTGGCATTTTTTCAAAGGTGACTACACAGCCTCCCTTCTCATTCCTCTTTTGAGTGTGGCAGGCATGTCTCCTTTGGTAAGGGGGTGAGCTTTCTAATAACATTAGACACAGTGGGAAATTACATTCCCAGTCTTTGTATGCTGAGTTGCAGAAGGGCTTTCTATCTGCGATCCACAGGCTGCTCTTGCAGCAGGGTAGGTGAGGGAGCATGGCGGAAAAGCAGACCACGCTCCTATAGGCTGCTGTTGCAGCTGAGCTGGGTGGGGTGTTGTAGTGGGTAAACACATGAAGACAGGTACGCCGTACATCCCAACAGTGTCCTGTAACTCCTAGAGCAGGGGTGCCCACAATTTTTTGTGTTAAGATCTACTTTTCAAATAACGAAAAAAAAACTCCCTCGCTCTCTCTCTCCTGGCTGTCTCTCCTTGCTCTCTCTCTCCTGGCTGTCTCTCCTCTCTCTCTCCTGGCTGTCTCTCCTCTCTCTCTCCTGGCTGTCTCTCCTCACGCTCTCTCTTTCCTGGCTGTCTCTCCTCTCTCTCTCTCTCTCCTGGCTGTCTCTCCCCACGCTCTCTCTCCTGGCTGTCTCTCCTCACGCTCTCTCTCCTGGCTCTCTCTCCTTGTGCTCTCTCTCCTGGCTCACCTTGCTGTATTTTGCAACAGGCTGTGTAAACTAATATTCTTTGATGTAATACATAGCACTTCAACCACCAGAATCCACCATAAAGGTGTCAGGGAGCTTGGCTCAGCAGATTCAGGCTAATAGGTAATCATGTGTGCACAGCTAAATACATATACCAAAATGGAATAAAGGGGTCACCATTCACACCCTTCATGATCAACCAGCATCAGGTTTGCTACGGGTAGATCACGATCTACCTAATGGGCACCCCTGTCCTTGAGCAAGGTGGAGACAGGGGATAGCAAAACAGACTGCAGAAAAATAATATACAGCAGGTCATTGACTGTCTATTAATAAAGAAATTAATTAATGCAAGGTCTGTTTTAAGGTTTATATACACCTCCTGCATCTTATTGATTAGGCTGCAAGCCACATTAAATTGACCAATAGTGAGACACCACGGTGGTGGTGGTGGTGGTGATGGGGAAGACAATGCTGTAACAGAAAGGCTGACGTTTTCATACCTCTGTTCATATCTCTGAATCTACTAACTGGAATGATATGCAGTTTCCCCAGTTTATCTCAAAAGATAATCTTTATTTATACACTTTTTCATTACCCGCTGAGTTTGCATTTCCCAGATTTGTGACAGGGCTATTTATTTTGTGGTTTCGCATGCTATTCGTCCTACTGACTTATGCTACAGAATTGTATGCATCATGTATATCAATGTATGGTATATTCAAAGCATGCACATTCATTTTTAAGCCTCTAAACAAATACGAATTGTGTTAACTATTCTTTATGATGAGACACTTACTCGTGGGATGAATTTTTAAAGGTAAAAATTGTTGATGCAATTTCCTTAAAGTAAATCTTTAGCCAAAATGTTCTCCTAATTTTGGATAGAGTGGGAAGGGTTAGAACATCTGTCAGAATTTTTCAACTGCCTCGGTCTACGTTTAAAGATCTTTCATTTCCAGTTCTGCTGACTAGTGCTACTGACACATGAAGCAAAAGTAAATCTCTTCAAAAGAGCAATTTAAAAAAAAAAAAAACCCCAAACAGACAGCTGGATCAGCAAGGAGTCACTCCTTCACTTCCATAAACTCTATAGAATGTAAGTCGCTGGCAAGAGAGATCGACGCATGCAAACCGGCGAGTGTTTCACTTTCCTGTTGTGTGTTCCATAACGACCCTGCCAATGGTGAGTTCTCGCCAGCGGCAGGATCAGAAGTGTGACATCAGCCTAATGATTACACAGACATTGGTTCTATCCCTTCTCAACTCTATTCAAAACAAACAAAATTGTCTTGCACCCTGCTTTAAAGTGTGCTGCTTCATCTAATCTTGAAAATGAGTAAGATTTTGCACAATAGATTAACACAATAATAAAAATATATTCTTATTATTAATCATAATTAATAAGAATAATAATTAGAAAATCTTGTGTCAAACAGTATAGTATTTTCAGGACCAGCATAGACACTAACTCCAGCCAGTTTTGAAGTATACTATACAAAAGAGATGCAAGCATATTTACCTACCACTCAAAAACTTACACTGTCCTTACCTGCAGAATAGACACAGTCTGGGAAAAATGATGTTGTTCCATTGTTGACGTAGAATATAATGCTGCCAATGGATGATCAAATTTTTGTAAGTAGGTGTTAGTATACCCGCGGTGGTCCAAGTCATGGCATAAACATGCAATCAAAAGCCCTTTTCTCTGTAGCAAAAACACAGAAATTGAATGTCATCTAAATCAATAGACAATGTCATAAAATGGAGGAAAAGGTTGATTTACAGTATTTATTTAGTTATCTTTAAGGAAATATAACTGGCCTTGGCAAATTACATAGATTTCAGCATTTTGTATGTTGGTATGGCAAGACGAATGAAAGTGGATATTTGGTTGACGTAACTTACAGTAAAGCACTGATTTTTGCAACTGAAACAGACTTCCATGAAAATACAAGCTCTGCTTGCTAATAGCTCCCTTAAATGAGAATAACTTCATGAAGCTGCCAAATAAAGCACAGTGCTGGAATGCATTCCCATGGGGTTTCAAGCACCCAGTTTTCCCAGAAGGCAACAGAGAGGCACAGTTACATTACTGGTGCCTCCAGGTATTAGGTGTTAGTTGGGTCCGAGGTCAGGTTTATTTTCCCCCTCAACAGGGCAGCTTTCATCATAATACCCATAAATGTAAGGCTCTCTTCTCCTAGATTTCCAATATGGCATATAATCTGAATGTTATTTGATATGATCTTAACAGTTCTCATATACAGCACTGCATAATACCTTGCTTAAAACGAAGAATAAAACTAATATTGGACAATCATATACAGAGAAAAGGACATGTCTGACAGGTTAAGACTAATTAAAAAAGACAGACTGGTTAGTGCAAAAAAGCAGACAAATATAGTGCAAATGTTCTGGAGCTGATGCAAAATAGCAACAGTAAGGGATCAGCAAAATAAATGGGCTGAAAAACTCGGCTTATACTCGAGTATATACGGTAGTTATTACCCACAGCAACCAGATTCTATAATTTAAGCAACATACTTTAAATCGACTTTATTAGTAATTAGACCCAGCTATATGCATAGCATATTGTAAAGAAAATTCAGTATAAAACTGTTTGGTTTTTTTAAACAGATATTATCCTACCTCCAAATCTGTAAATAAATCTTTGCTTTGCTTCAATATAGCATACATACAATGCGACACTGTTACCGCATGCTTCCAATTATGATAAGGTACTCGCCGATAGTTCTTTTTCACTGACATAGTAAAACGACACAATTTTTCCAGCTCAAAACTTGAAAGTAAGAAGAAAACAGGAAAACATGTTAGGAAATGAAAAAAAAAAAAAGAGTATTTGACAGAAAAAATCACCAATTCACACTATGTCGCTTGGTAACCAAGGTCACCTGGAATGAAAGTGCTAAAATCTAAACATTTTAGTTGTCACCAGAACAGAAATCAGGGGAAATCATGCAATAGGGACACTTGTTCAGGTAGAAATTGTCTAAAAGGGTATTTCCCTTATTATGGAGAAATTTCCTCTTAGTTACTGTAGTGTCTATTGGACAGGAAGGAAAGGCAATTCTCCTCAATGTGACATAGGGCAAAAAAGTTTGATAGGGGTTTTAACCAGCCCCTATTCTATCCAAAACTTATAGAAAATTCTATACGAGAATAAAGCCCAGAATGTTTTCTAACATTATGGATCATGATGGACATGGCCATTTTTATTTTTTTAACAGCACTTATTGTTATCACCATTTATAAAATACCCTAAGCTGAAATTATTTGCTGCCCATTATTCTAAAGGCCAAAATGGGAATTAACCATTCTATAACATTTAAACATTTTAGGTCAGCATGAGATTCCCTTCTGCATACGAAAAGGCTTCAATACAGTAAGAGCTGTGCAAATGTGGAATCGAGTTCCAAAGGAGCTAGTTCTGGGCAACTCTGTAGATTGTTTAATAAATAATAATTAACCACTTGAAGTCCGCTGTGTTTACACCCCCTTCCCATCCATGCCATTTTTCAGTATTCAGCGCTGCGGTACTTTGACTGACATTTATTCCATCATGCAACACTGTACTGAAATACATAAAAAAAAGAACGGTTTCCCCTATATTAAATGATGAACATTATGACCCAATTTTTTAGTAAAATATAAAATACGGGGTCACGTCGGGTAAAAAGACACCAAACATGTCAAGCCTTAAAATTGCGTGCGCTTGTGAAACCTAAAAAAATGATAATACCCAAAATTGGCCATAGGCGACGCTTTAAAAGCTTTTACCGCTCATCAGTTTAGTGTCATCAGCGATTGATGGCCCTAAAATTATTGCTCTCACTGCGACATTCGCGGCGATATGTAACGTGTGTAGCGCAGTTGTTGTTTTTGAGCGCTGGTGCACCGGACGCGTATTTACGTTTATATATGTGCGTAAACATGGTGGTGGGGAACTTAAAAATGTTGGGGTTTTTTAAAAAACTTTTTTTATATGTGACTTATTTTTTTAAACTCTTTTTATGGTTTTTTACACGTAATGTCATTGATATTACATAGGGGGATAAAAATCCCCCTATATAATAGCAAAGGCACACTGACAGGTCCTCTTTGTGGAGACATTAGGGTTATCTAAGACCCCTAAAGCTAATGAATATATATATATATTCTGAAAGCCAAGACCCTGTAGAATAAAATGGTGGCAGTTGCAAATTTTTTTGTTGCACAATATTAGCCCAACTCCTTATCAAACCCCAAAATGTAGTGAAACATGTACTTAAATTCCCCAAAACAAAATCCCAATGTTTTTTATAACATATTAAAGATGAGGTTACGACGAGTAAATAGATACCCAACATGGCCAGGTTAAAAATTGTGTGCATCCATGAAACGGCGGCAAACTTCAGTATCCCAAAAAGTCCACAGACGACGCTTTAAAAGCCCCCACAGGTCATCAATTTAGAGATACCCAAAAATACTGGCCCTAGAATTATTGCTCTCACTCCGGCATGCGCGGCCATACCCAACATGTGTAGCGTGTGCATTGTTTTCATACGTGGGTGCACCCGACGTGTGTTTACATGGCGACGCACGTGCTTGCGGGTGGCGGGGACTTTAAAAAGTGTTTTTTATTATTTTTAGATTTATTTTAATTTAATGTTAAAAACTGTTTTTTTAAAACTATACTTTGATTGCTATGACATAGGGGGCTTACACGCCCCCATGTGATAGATGGTGGTGACAGGTACTCTTTAAAGTGATGCTGGGGGTCCGAAGACCCCCAGTGTCACCTTTGTACTCCAAATAAGCTATTGAAGTACATATCGCACTTAATAGCTTATAGCTGGGCTTCAGGAGCCCAGCACTGACAGCTATTGGACTGGAAGTGATGCAATCTGCATCGCTCCCATGTAACAGGGAGGGGATCGACGAACGGCGGTTTATCCATTTCCTTCCCTAGCTCCCTGCACCAGAGAAGCAAGTCCCGGGCTCGTAGGAGGGGCAACAGAGCCCGGGAAGCACGGCGGGGGTGTACCCCTTCACCAGGACATAGAAGCGAACTGGCGACAGCTGAGTCACCAGAATTGCTTCTATTGTGAAGCTGACAGTTGGCTTTACAAGTTCAGTTGGCTTTACAAGTTCAAACAGAGTCCTGGCTGCTTTCTGTTTAAACAGCCCCGATGCTAGCGACGTACACTGTATGCCGTTAGTTGTGAAGGGGTTAAAGGGTATTTCCACTTTTGCAGTAACATTTTAGAAAACCCCTCTATGTTTCTTATGTGTTGCTATTCACAGCATTACAAAAAATACTTAAAAAAAAAGTATTTCTCAACTTTTAGGTGTTTTTTGCAGTAGGCAACACGACAGAATGTAGTTTTTTTCTGAGCCCCTTTGGCTCAGAAAAAAAAACTACACACTATCTACAAACTATACAGTGATCTCACCTTATAGAAAGAATTAAGACTGAAATTTGAGGTTTGTAATCATTTAACCTTTGTTAGGACAGGCAATGTTCACATCTACTTTACAAATTATAATGAACAAACCCCTCCTAACATTACAAAGAAGGAGAAGCAAGTAGAAATGGTAACCATTAATAAGCCAAGAATTCCTAACTCAAATAAAAGCAATTTAAACTGCATGAAGCATTTAAAAAAAAAAATTTCGCATATGCTATGTGAATGGGAACGTAACAAATATAAAATAGGTGTTATCCGAATTTGGCTGCAAAAGTAGAAATATACTTTAAGAGATCAGAAGAGGATGTTTATCCCTTTTGCAGTAAATATGTATAATGTTTTTTTACTTTCCTTTGGATTAACTGTAGGTTTAGGTTTCTGTGGTTTCAGGTTTTTAGTTAATCAAATGTTCTCTATTGTTTAAACTTGATCTATGTTTTTTTTTTAACCTATGTAACAAGTAGAAATGCCTCAGCGCTAGACTGGAACATGGCTAAAATGTAGGAATCAACAACTTTTAGACATTCTGCAGAGATGTTTAAATACCATTTTCACTTCACAAGTTCTTAGATACCTTCGAGCGTGACATGCCCATCAAACCCATTTAAAAACACATGCACATAGACCAGTAACAGTAACCATTGATAACAGCAAAGTCATGATAACCAACCAATGTGAGTTGTCAGTAAATTGATTTCTGCAACTTTATAGTTCTACTATTGAACTGAAAGTTATATTTAGACTCTATATATAACATTATTGCTTTTACAGAGAAGAATCTATAGCTAATCACATTCGGAACCATGTCAAAGATCTGAACACCCTCCTTAGCAATAACAGGACAACTGACAGGAGGTGGTGCACAGCTACCTTCTCATATAGTCAACGGCAACAAAGTATGACAGCCAGTACTCCCTAGTATAGTCTATTTAACTTATCTTTTTCAATTAAGCAGGATGAAAAGATATGTAACAGGAAAACACTATTACCAGCTTGTACATTTTCAATATGTACTGGATGCATTACATTTCACTTTCTGCTCCCTTTGGAAGCATTTGGTCAATGTATTCTCATACCAATGTCTTATGCATGAAAACTGTGGTTGTGAAAATGAAAATATTTGGAGGTGAGTGCCTGAACTCCAGTAACACACTAGCCTCACTATACAGCAACAGCTAAAGTCTGATATAAGAGAAAAACAAATACTCATTACTGAAAACAGGTGTATACATTATAATACTACACACACACACAGTTTTCGAATACATTTCAATGGACTTCATTTGGAATATGTAATGCAACAAATTGGATATTTTTCATGCCTAAGTTGATGAGCAGGACTATTATTTAGTAAGTTTAATATTGTGAGAAAACAATTATAATGAATATAGATCAGATAGTTACAGTCCGTGTCTAAACCCGAAAAAGGGAATGAATGTTGTCAAAAAAAGATGCCGAGATGCACGTTAACGCTGGATATCTTCTAAAATGCATGCAATACCATTGGTTTGACACGCTTGCATAAATATGTTTATTAAAAAAAATTAAAAACTAAAATTTTCAATGTACTATTTACAAGCTACTTAAAATAGAGGTAATTCCTAAATGAATGCCATTTAGTTTGTAAAGCACTGTTTAATCATAACTGCCATTCTTTTTTTAACTTTGCTCATCCTTTGTTGCATTTCAGTGGGGCTTATCTGCTGCATTCTCTTTGCAATCATATCCTGTCTACATGCATAAACCCCAGCAGTGGCTCCCTGACATTTCTTATGCTGGGTTTCCTGATGGTGACCACAGTGGACTATGCCTGAGTGGGTTGAAAAGGCAACGTCTAATCTCCATCAGAAGCTCATGCGACAGGGTGACAATGCAGGAACACATTTGGAAGACAAGGACAGAGCTGTCACTCTATAACAGCAAGTGACTAAAAATGACCTTCATTTCTGGCTTACCAGGTATTATTTTATTAAAAGCTGCATATTAAAAAATATTGAAATTTCTTTTAAAATTACATTAATATTTAAATACTTATATGAGATGTCAGTGATTGAGTTTACATATAGTTTAAGTTAAAACAACTCCAGTAAAAACTTGTGTAGAAAATTAGTACTTTGCCTTGAACCCACAAAGGATGGATATATATACTAAACAATCCAAAAAAGCAAAGCTAATGTCTTAGCTAATCTACCTACAGTAGACTAAAATCTGACTCGCTGGTTAGCACAATGCATATATTATAATTATTCTTTTTTACTATGTTAGTGAGAACCAATAATGCTATTTACACTTAAGGCCTGCCAACAATTAAAAAGAAAATTTGACTACCTTACCAATTTTTACCACAAGACTGATGTATCATATACACAAAGATTGCTGGCCAAAGATCTTCAAAAGGCCCTATATCAAAATGATAACTGGAAAAAAAAAACATCTATGTCACAGAATGTACAGTCACATTTATACAAGATTGGAAGATGTGTTTTATACAATTACATACTTTTTAAAACAGAGAATTCTCAAGACAGTAACACTGCTGTTATCTTATGTGAGATGATATAGAAACCTGCAGGGTAAAAAAGTAATTACTTAAAGCAAACCCAAAAACAAACAAACATTTTATATATTGCAACTTACTAGTAATTTAACCCTTTCCGTGCCAAGGCCTTTATTTGACAAGTTATAATCCACATTTTAGGCCTGAGAATTACTTAAAACCCCCAAACTTTATATACTTAGACCGGGGGTCTCACACGCGATTCACTCGGGCGCCACTGGACAATTTTTTTTTTGCCATGGAGGCCGCTTGCCAAATTTCATACTACACACACACACAGATATGCAAAACCTCCCACAACCAGAACTACAAACACTAATACACACATACAATAAGGCCCCATTTAGACCTGTAAGTTTAGGTACGATTAGGGATTCCTGCGTCAGGAACTTGTGTTTTCCTGCAGCAGGAATCCCTAATCTGTCATTTACAAGTGACAACTGTCACCCATTCAAGTTAATGATCTGGTGACAAGCGCTGCATGTAAACGCCTGCACACCGCATGTAATGGTATGCAATATGATTACATACCATTACAACAATATACTCAACCCTCCCTCACACAAATAATAGAAGCCCCCTCACCTGCTTCCGTTTTTGCAGGGAGGGGGCACATCATTCCCTGGTGATCTAGTGGCGATTGGTAAGGTCTGGTGCAGACAATACCAATCCATAATATCTCTGTCCTGGCCGAAAGGAACAGAGAGCACAGCCAGCAGCAGCTATGCGGTCTGCAGCAGCTAAGCAGTCTGCATCTGACAGAGATGCAGACCATGTAGCTTCTCAGGCAAGTCAGGAATGTGGTCCATGACCACGTACCTGACTTGTCAGCCATCTGCGGGCCACATAGTACCGGCTCAATTGGCCTGCGGGCCGGTACTTTGAGACCCCTGCTTCAGACCCTGTAGAATAAAATGCTGGCAGTTGCAAATTTTTATGTACGATTTTAATGCAACTTTTTATCAAGCCCAAAAATTTTGTAAAAATGTTATTTTGTAAACTATTAAAGATGAGGTTACGTAGAGTAAATAAATACCCAACATGCCCAGGTAAAAAATTGCATGTGTCTGTGAAACAGCAACAAAATACGGTACCCTAAATTGTCCATAGGCGACACTGTAAAAGCCCCTACAGGTCATCAGTTAAGTAGGTGCACCCAACACATGTCTACGTTAATATTCACGTGGTCACAGTGGCCTTTTTTTTTACATTTTTCTAATTTAAAATATATATATATTTTTTTTAACTTTACTTAATTGCCATCACATAAGGGGGCTCACAAGCCCCCTTTACCTGGTGACAGGTTCTCTTTAAGGTGATATTAAGCGTAAATTGCACCCCTAATATCACCTTTGCGCTCTTAATAAGCTATTGGAGCGCAGATCACACTCCAAAAGCTTATTTCCCGGATTCCGGAGCCAAGCAATGATAGGTAAGGGACCTGGCAGTGATGCAATCAATGTCTCCTAGTTCCTTAGAGTGGGGAGGAGACTGGTGAATGGATGTTCGCTGGTCTCCTCCCTGGCTTCCTGCCGACACCCGACATGCTGGTCCTGGGTCTGCAGGAGGGGTAGCGAAGCCCGAGAAGTAAGGTGGGGGTGTCAGGTGAGGGGGGCGCGCACTAAACTAGGCCCTGGAAGCGATCTGGCGGCAGATGAGATGCCAGAATCGCTTCCACTGTAAAGCAGACAGTCAGCTTTACAAATGTAAACAGGGTCCCAGCGGATATTGTTCTCCTTTTAGTAAACTAAACGTGAGATTGTAGTCTATTTCGTATTGACTTTGTAGTCCATCACAGGAGCGAACTTGGAGTGGTGGCTACTTTTCAACACACACACAAGGACCATGGGGAACAAAAGTAGCCACCCTCCAGAAGGAAGGACAGTGTCAGCACAAATTCAGAGATGATTTCAGAATCTACAGCCGAGTGATACACAAATAAGATACATTTTTGTTAATAGGTAAGGTACTTGAATGCATTTTCAAGATGTAACTCCTGAGTTTAGTGTCACTTTAGATTAGTAGCAGGTTTCCTTGTTTTAGTTTTTTCCCCCTTGATATTTACCTGGTGATCCTTCCAGTAACACACTTTGTTCTATCATAACAATGCACTCTCATTGTTCTGTAGCTATGGAGGAGCAGTGCGGTCACTCATATTTTTCCTGATTTGGATTACAAACACCCCCCCTCCTAATCTCTATCAAAATAGGGGAGCAGCATTGTAGTTCACAAAAGTTAGCTCAGAAAGTTAATAGCATTTTTTGAGATTTAAGTTCAGTGTACATAAAGTCAAAGACACTGTTCAACTGAATCAACTGTTATTTTTATGTACTTGCAGAAAATGTGCTTAGCCTGAAAAGGATATTACAAAGCCCAAATCTAAGGACTGTTAAGCTGCAGTATATTCAATTTTGTTTATAGGTTTTGATATGCTTTCTTTTTTAACTGTATATTCAGTCATATTATAAAGGGTCAGTTATGCATAAGAATACATGACTGGTTATGACTGCTACCCTGGTTTTTCATGGATTTAATTAAAAGGTCAGTCTACCAAAAGACTGATATTTTTGTTTTTGTTAGATGCTAGACCTTAAAGATTAACTCCACTGTATTACTTAACTGTGGTAGCGAAACATCATGCCTCCAGATGGGCTGTGCTGCCTGGCTGTGCAATTATTAGGAATGAACAGAAACAAAAAAACATTGGCAGTTAAAACAGCTCCCATATATGTATTTTATTTTTGTATTTAACCATTTGCCATTAGTTCAGCTTTAAACCAGCAAGCAGGTTGTTTCATCTCTTAGGACCTCTATTAGAAAGAGATCTGTGTTTGAACCCCCATGTGTGCACATTTGATGAGGCTGGTAGGAGGGTTTCTCTGATTTCTGTAGTATTTGCCTTTTATCTTACATTATGAAGGGTGCAACAGCAACAGAACATGCAAAAAGTAAATGTGAATGCTCAAAGCACTCAGGAACAGAGTTGGGATTAGGGATGAGATTCGGGTTCAGGTTAGACATGGCTTTGATGTGAAATCAGCCTGTTTGCTCTTCACAGACCCACCAAGCTAATGCAACCATTTGCCCACCCAAATTCCTGGTAGCTGTAATGTAAACAGAGTACCAGGGATGACCATATTTTACCACTGACCTCACCTGGGATCCCTGAAACTGTGTTTACATTACTGCACCACAGGGGATCTGTTATTTAGCAGTAGGAGTGGGATTTTTACACATCCGTGACTGTTGAATCATTGTGACTGATGGATAATTTCTATCATTGGACATCGTGATAGATATTGGATTACTTTAGTGGACATGAATAATAATTTTTACATTTTATTTTTTTAGGAGTTGTTTGTGCTTGTTTACTTACATTTCACTCTTTGGTACAGGGTACAGTAAAAAATAAAGGTTATTATGTTCTCTGATGTAATCCAGCATCAATCATTACAATCAACGATGTAAGCCTCATCAATCACAACGACTTGACGATGTTTACTTGTTGCTAAATGAGAATACCCAGCACTGCAATAATGTCAACAGTGCCAGTTGACATCCTTGACCAAATGCGTTCAAGACCTGGCCCTGGTCACCCAGGCTGCGTGCCTAGATAAGGGACTGGGTGGAAATTTAGTGGGAACCCAACTTTTAACCCTTTCGCTAGAGCTTTTCTTGCACATGTTAACTGCATATTTTAGTTCTAAAAAATTCTTAGAACCCCAAAAATGATATATTTTCTTACAGACTGAATAGAAAAGAAATGGCCAATGCAATTTTTTCAGTAAAATGTATCTCAATTAATTTTAGTTGACATAAAACACAATATAATACCTATACCATATTTGGTAAAATACAAAAGATGAAGCTGCATTAAGAAAATAGAAACCAAAAATTTCAAGCCTCAAATTTGCATGTGCCTGAAAAATGGTGAAAACTTTGGTACCCAAAATTGTCCATAGGCAATGCTTTGAAACTCATTAGTTTAGAGCCAATCATTAAAAATTGCGCTAGAATTACTCTTACTTTGGTGTATACAGTGATACCAAACATTTGGCACAATCTTCTTTATTTTTTTAAATTTAATTTATTAAATGTTTTTTTTACCTAACTTATTGCTATCACCTGTGTGATAGAATAATGGTTCTCTTTAATGAGACATCAGTTTAAAGGCCTGTGTTGCCACCATCGCATGATGTATACAGTGGCTGTGAAAGACATGCTATAGGATTTGTGTATTTTCAATGTTACCCTGTAAGTCACATGAAAAGTCCCTCTCCTTGCTGAATGGTATTTTTTTTTTAAATTATTGCACTGACACATGTTCCCCATGGGAGTGCCCAGCTCCCTATGCCTTTTTTTCACAAATAGTTTGCCTACCGGTATTAACCTTGAAAATGGCCAAATAAATACAAGATTTATCTCCCATAAACATCAAGAGGATTTGGCACAAAGTGGAGTTTGAGGTTTTTTTTTACAAAGGGTTCACTGAACATGGCTCGAACCAAACATGACCAGGCTCATCCCCCTTGGGGACTTTGACAGGAGGATCCCTCTCTTGGAGTCCAGGACAAGAAAGAAGTCAGACATGGACTCCGTACAGAACGCTCCACCCAAAACAAAAAATAAATATCACTTTTGGGTGGACTGGTTCTGTAACAGATATCATACATGGGAAACTGTTAAAAAAGGATCACTGTTAGTATAAGGACATGCTATTAGTAGTTGTTTTTAAGCACTTACAGTTCAATTTCCTTACAAAGAGGTACTGGAAGGTTACAGTTCTTAAGGTTTTGCCATTCTTCTGAAGTACAAATGCTGTGATAGGACAACTTCTCTAAAGTCACTCGGTAAATGCACTCTGAGTGACGTATTCTGTGGTACATCTATTAAATAAAATCACAAGGTAGACAGTTTAGTATAATTAATTTCAGAATGATTGGATAACAGATCATGGTTTTTCCACAAAAAGACAGTAAATTGAGTAATGTGCAGTCTATACAAACATCAAACAATGTCCAACTCAAACTGGACTATTTAAATCTCAAAATCTCACATGGAGCCAGGGCCGTCTTTAACGCGGGGCAAAGAGGGCACTTGCTCCGGGCCCAATCAAGGTTGTGGGGCCCGAAGCATCTGCCCCTTAAGCCCGCAGAAAATTGCCGATCGGATCGCATAGTATAATACGTTATGGCAGCGGCCGCATACGGCAATGCCATAACGTATTGTCCTGTGCGATCTGCATGATCACATCCTAAAGGTAGCTCCTCCCCCGGCCCCCGCCCGCATGGCGTAACATGTCACACGGGCTTTTTTCCCTCCTGAGTGTATACTGAGGAGAAAAAGGTGTTCAGCATTTCGGCCCTCTCCTTGTCGTTTGTGACCAACTTCCCATTTTTGTCCTTTATTGGGCCTATCTGCTCCTTTCTCCCCTTTTTACTGTTTATATATTGGTAAACTTTTTTGGGTTTTTTTTTTTACAAAAAATTACCTAACACCACACCCCTGATCATAGAAACACATTGGTATAAAAACCGTGACAAATTGGGACTTTTTAGGTGCATAGATCACTATAAAAACGATTTATTGTTTTAGCATAAAAATACATACAGGTGAAACTCGAAAAAATTAGAATATCGTGCAAAAGTAATTGCAGTAAGTGCTGCAAAAGAGGCCCAAACCAAGTACTGAGTACATATGCATGCTTGTACTTTTCAGAGGTCCGATATTGTTCTATGTACAATCCTTGTTTTATTGATTGCATGTAATAATCTACTTTTTTGAGGTTGTGGATTTGGGGTTCTTGGGGTTTTCATGAGCTGTAAGCCATAATCATCACAATTATGACAAATCACGGCTTGAATTATCTTGCTTTGCATGTAATGAGTCTATCTCATATATTAGTTTCACCTTTTAAGTTGCATTAGTGAAATAAATGAACTTTGCACGATATTCTAATTATTCGAGTTTCACCTGTATAACCATACACAACATGATCAAATGTGATTAAAATACCATGTAAACTACAATTGATGGAGGACACTATTTAAGGCCAAGACAGCAATATATATATATTGAAACTACAAGTTCACGGACTTGCTTACACACTTACATACAGCACAGTCATGTATCATCGTGAAACAAGGGGAGCCAAACCAGAAGACGTCTATGCCGGGGGCCACAGAGGGGGAAAAAACTAGCCAGGACACCCAGCTACTATCTCTCAATACTTGATAACCATAGGAGCATGAAACATGTGTGGGAAGAGTGAAAATAATATATTTTTTAAATTGTTTAGTTGTTTTCACTCTTCCCACACACATTTATTCATCACATGTTATGCTGTCTTGGCCTTAAATAGTGTCCTCCATCAATTTTAATTTTAATCACATTTTATCATGTTGTGTATAGTTCTATGTATTTTTATGCTAAAACAATAAATATTTACAGGGTTAGTCACTAAAGGGTTTGGAGAAGGCAGGAGAAGGGAACAATCTAGGACACGGGTAGGCAACCTTGGCTCTCCAGCTATGCTGAAACTACAAATCCCATAAGGCATTGCAAGCCACAGGCATGACTCCCAGAGGCAGAGGCATGATGGGATTTGTAGTTTCAGCACAGCTGGAGAGCCACAATTGCCTATCCCTGATCTAGGACAACATAGCTGAGCTGGAAAGTGAGCTGAATTGGAGAATTTTTCAAAATCAGCTATTTTGTCCTAGATTGTTCACTTCTCCTGCCTCCTCCAATGACTTCACCCTTTAGTGAATAACCCCGATAGTTTTTATAGTGATATATGCATCTAAAAAGCCCCAATTTGTCAGATTTTTATGCCAATTTGTCATATTACACACTGACCACCTGAGAGCCCGCAATGACCACCTGAGAGATTTAAACAGGTGCCGCAGTTCATAGTAATGCTGCCGAGGTCCACAGCGAGCGCGGGACTTCAACAGTGCCAATTTACAGCACCAGACGCACATCTTTTCCTTCCTGAAACAGTGCCACCCACACCTGCCCAGGAGACCCTGCACAGCTGCATGGCTTCCTGAGACTATACACAGACCACCTGAGACCCTGCACGGCCTCCTGATTACACACCCGCCCCACGGCCTTCTGGGACCCCACTTGACCTCCTGAGACTACACACAGATCACCTGAAACCCCACACAGCCTCCTGAGATCCCCGCACAGCCTCCTGAGATCCCCGCACAGCCTCCTGAGACCCAGCAGAGCCATCAATTTTCCATTATGGGCATGACTGGGGCCTAATTTTTAAGTTTCGCCTAAGGCCTCACATATATGTGAAGGACAGAACAGAAATGGAGTGAGCTTTTCAGGGAGATATACAATCATGTTGTCATTTTTTACAAAATCAATTCAATCATTTTATTAATTTAATACAAATAAATAATATATTTTTAGAAATGTATTAGTCTGGAAGTTGTCATTTAGATGCCTACAAAACCCCAGCTTTCCTTCTTTTTTTCTAAATAATTGCCCTTTAGGGGTGTGGCATCCACTGCACAGATCCAGGTCACCTAACTTTGAATTCATTTTATTACTTGTGTTTTTGGGGTCCTGATTTCAGTTCTCACCTTGGGCACCATATGCATGGAGTTTTAACAATATGTTCTCTGTTTGTTTTCGCTATGTTCTCAAATGTTCTTAAAGATGATCTCTGGCCGGGGCAATCCCCCAGTACATTTTACCCACTTCCTCTACCCATTCCACTAATAAAAAAATAAAAAAATTGCCTTATTACTTACCTGAATATGTGGTCACGTAACATGCGTGGCCCAGAGTTATCTTTCTTTTGCACGTAGAGTTAGCGGGTCCTTTTTCAAGTATCACCATCACTTTCTAGTTATGTAGATGGTTCCCATTGGCTGAAAAAAGATTCCATCAGTGGGATCATCTCTGATGATGATGATCTACTGTGTGATATACTGTATAGGCCAGTGATGGCGAACCTTTTTGAACCCGAGTGCCCAAACGGCAACACAAAATAAATGTATTTATCTCAAAGTGCCAGCGCTGAAAATAAGTTTAGTATTGCAGTTTGGGCGCTCGGGTTTAAGAAACGTTCAACATCACTGCCTTACGGCAAAATAGAGAAACCCGCATATTCAAACATTAAGGCCCCATTCACACTGAGTGACACTCACCTGGGCAGATCCTGCAAAGCCCCCATGAGACCCTGAAGTCTGCCAGATCTCAAGGGGTCTCTGCAGGATCTGTGGTGGGCTTTGCAGGCGGCAGAGCACCCTACGGATCCTGCAAAGCTCCCCACATAACCTGCAGAGACCCTGCAGTCTGCCGGATCTCAGGGGCGCTGTGCAGGATCTGTGGTGGGCTTTGCAGGATCTGTGGGGGGGTTTGCAGGCTGCAAAGCCCCCACAGATCCTGCACAGCCCCCCTGAGATCTGGCAAAGCCCTCCACAGATCCTGCAGAGACCCTGCAGTCTGCTGGATCTCAAGGGGGCTTTGCAGGATCTGTGGGGGGTTTGCAGGCTCCAAAGCCCCCCACAGATCCTGCACAGCCTCCCTGAGATCTGGCACAGATCCTGCAGAGACCCCGCAGTCTGCCGGAACTCAGGAGGAGTGAGACTAAGAGGCTACAGTTGGCAAGCACTTACTGTTACAGATCAAGCTAAGGACTTGTTTCTGAACCAGTTCTTTATGTTTACATTATTAAAGTTTTTGTTGAGAGAAGTCTATGATCTATGTGTGCTGGTTTTTTTTTCTTGGTGGGGGGCCCCAAGAAAATGTTTGCCCAGGGTCCGATCAATATTAAAGACGGGCCTGCATGGAGCCTATGTAATCCCTTATTTCCGAAAACCTGGCTCTCTGTACAGTTGTAAAAAAGGAGATTTACAAATCATAATTTATGCAATGAGTGAGATTTTTATTTATTTAAAGGGTAACTACAGATTTAGTAAAATGAAAGTAGTAAGAAAGTGAGTGAAACACATTGGAATTTGTTCTCTATGTCCACATGCATACAAAAATACAAATGTTTCAAACCGAGCCCTGTCCTTCATGTTATTTATTCATTCATGCTGTACCTTTTGGACCGGGCTCGGTCCAAAAGCGTTGTATTATTGTATGCATAAGGACATAATATTAGTGTTTATATATGTATCTATTATTATATTAACGTATGTATAATAGCATTAAATGTATGGTGTTAATACTTATTTTATGTGTACCAGAGGTTCATTGTGGGCTAACACCTAAGGAGAGGAGGAGTTTTGGAGTGGGTGTTTTCCCATAAATGGCTGCTTTACTTACACACAATGTTCTATGATTAAGTGCACGTTTGTGCGGAATGTGTTAGAGATGTTTGTCTGTAATGTTTGCTGGATGTCGATTGATGGAATAAAAAATTCACACTGACTTTTGGAGTGCCACAGTTTTCCCATCTTTGCACAATACAGATTAAACCTTCTTGCCTTCGTCATGAAAAAAATTAAGTGAAATGAACATATTCTACACCTAAAAGAACAGCGATCTTACTGCGACAGACTGCCCTAGGCGGCGAGGTGTTTACTTGCTGCACAGTAGCAATTCTGCTCTGAGATCCATATACCAGCTGTAGTCTAAGTCCATGTAAAGTGTATGTACAGTAAACCCCCAACAATGAACTTCTTTGCTCCCTTTTGGTCGGTTAAATAAACTGATGCAAGATTTGCTTGAGAAGTGCAAAAAATACCAGCTGATCTTGCCAGAAATCTTGTAAGCTGATAACTTCATTTTCTCTCTATTTAACCTGCACCTTTATCATTTACAGGGTCCACCCATCTGTTATGGACAAGTGGACAGGGGAAGTTCCCAGTAGTCATGTTCATTTTCTGTTGTCCTGAAACAGTAAGGGTAGTAACATACTATTTCTGATTTTGATGACTGAACTGCAGAAGTAGCTCTGTGTGCCAGTCTCTGGCTGGTCTTATGGTGTCTCTCTTCAACATCCTTTCACCTGGGCAACCTCTACCTCTATTCCCAAGCACCCCATTTTATGAGTTAGTTTTTATGAGTAGAGAGTATCAATATTACTACCTTTACTAGGTGCAGGCAGGAAGCACATATCTCCAGCCTGCATACATCCCCACAGTTGGCATTGTTGCTGTAGAAAAGCTATTAGTTATCATACAAGGTTCATGATTTGACTGGTGTATACCCCGTTAAAGCACCTCCCTGATGCTGAAGGGGATCCAGGCTAATAATAGCATACCATGGGACCTGCATACTCCTGGCCTGATGCCAGCCCATGTGCCTGGTGTACTTGGCAAGATCATGATTTAAGTTTACATGTGTGTGTAGGTGAGGGGGGGAGGAGGGAGGTGGTGGTGGTAAGAAAAAAAAAAATCGGGTGGACTGCAACTGATGTATTCAGAATTATTTGTGGTTATGTACATTCAGCCAAGTTTACTGCAACCCTTGCTTAATAAATTGTTAATGTCTACTTTTAATTTGTTAAATGCAAGCAAACAAAGAATGGCTACTAGTGCAAACAGAATACAACAGCAAATAACTACTTACATTTGCACAGTGTAAGGCTAAAGCACAGAAAACTGCAAACATTTTGAAGTTATTCTCATCAGTTTTAGAGAAGGCACTTCCGCTCAGTTTGTTCACCATCTGGACAACACCAATAACACTGCCTCTGCTTACAATAGGCATACATAAGATGTTCCTTGTTGTATAACCTGTATATAGGTCCACTTCTCTGCACAGATACAAAAATGTAAAGTTACATCGATATTCCTTCCTATGCATTTGCACAGTAAAATATACCAGCTACAGTTGTCCAACATTTTTAAATTAGATCCGTCATTTATCAAATAAACTTAAAAAATGCTTTTAGTAAATGAAGTGTAAGAGTAATTCATGATAGGAGAAGTACATAAATAGTGTGATAGATTTCATAATATCATTTTGATCATGACAACTGGATTACCGTTAACAATACTGCATGCACTTTAAACCAATATAAATTGTATAACTGCATTATAATTTATTTGGCAAGCTTTATGTAGACATAACTGTTTGCAGAGAAATGATTAGCGAAAACTTATCAAAAGAAAGTTGTAGGCTGCCATTTCTGACCACTATTTGTTTGATTTTGGGAGATCCCCACGCCATTTTTAAAAAAAACAAGCCAGGGAAATTTAATTTAGCTGCATTTGTTTTTCTTTGTAGATTTTACTTTAGCTGTAGTATATCCTACATAGAAGGGCATCTTGTCCCCATGTTGATAGGGACAGGGGCCTCATCTACTCATCCAGTCACCAAGAGGATGTGTGAGTTCTTAAAATAAGGGATCTCCTAGATATCTGCTCCCCCCCCCAGCTGAATAAATAAGGGGTACACAACACATTTGAAAAAAGTCCCATGGTGTAGATCCATCATCCAATTGACCAGGGATGTTGATGCCATGCTTAAAAGCGCTAATTCACATTAGTGATGGGTGAATGTCCCTGGGTTCAATTCACAGGATGTTCAGCAAACTAGTCAGATGATATTCAATTTTTTTTTCTATTATTATTACTAGGAGACTGCATTTATATAGAAATAGTTTTGTTTTAAATCCTTCAGATTCTCGTTTTCTAGTTGGTCCCCGCAGCGCCTTTCCACCTGCCCCCGCACGGGTGCCTCCATCTGCTAAGCAGCTGCTGTGGAGGCACCCGGGCGTGAATGTTTACAGCCATGTCCGCAGTAGATGTGCATCCATAGAGACACACACAGCCCTGCAGCAGGCCACGCCCTTCCTTCCCACCCAGCAGTTTGACTGATGGCAGAAGGAGCCTATGGTTTTTCTGCCTTCAGTATCCTCCCCCAGAAACAGGAAGTTCGTGATGGAGGATCGCGATGGAGGATTGCTGTGGGGACCGGCGGCAATGACAAGTGGCGCTGGCAGGCAAGTGTGGGGGGGACAGGGGAGTCTAAAAGGTACTGGAAGTTTTTTACCTTAGGGCAGAGAATTCATTAAGGTAAAAAATGCCCAGCCTTTAGTAATACTTTAATGTGAACATCAAAGAAGTCAATGGGAGGTGAATGTTGAGAATTGCAATTTTAAAAGCTAATAAGCAAGGGATTGTCAAAACACGGTGCATGAGGAGCCTTAATCCTGCCCGTGAATTGCCACACCTATAGGACATACTGTAAAATAAAAATGCCACTAAAAGAAATTTCCCTGTCAGCTTAGTTTTTTGGAATCTTTTTTATGATAGTGTTTTTTCTAATAGTTTTTTGGGACCTTTATCAAGCATCTGGTATGTATTTTGGGGGGTTCCCATTCCATTTTTCTTACAAAAAATGCTAGCAGGGTAATATAAAATGTTTTCTTTTTTTTCTCTTAAAATTCACTTTTGCTTTAGCACATAAAGTGGCAAAAGAAAAAGCAAAAAAAGGTCCCCTTCAAATCTTTGACAAGTGTCTGATACGGATTTTAAGGGGGCGGATCCCACACAAAAACAACAAAATGTGTGGGTCCCCCTTAAAATCCATACCAGATCCTTAAAAGGGCAGGCCAGGAAAGGGAGGGGGAGAAAGCATGTCCCATAGTGTAAACCCATCATCTATCACATAGCCAAGCAATGCAGATCCAGCACACATCCTTATGAATGGCACAGATGACCCGTCAAGACTATCCTCTCCTGCCGCACTCTGGCCGTAACCGACAGCTCACTGGTCAGCTGCAGAATGTCAACAATCCTACTGGTGATGCTGTCTGGCATCACTGACCAAATATTGTCTTCATGACCATCTAGTCATTGAGGTCACGAGGGATCTCCCAGCCAGCTTGTTTAATATTGAAACAAGCTGGCTGGCAGTGGGATAATTGGTTGCTAGGATATTAGAAGCTGGCAGCAGTCCTGTAAAGTAGACTACAAGAGGCTGATAGCAAGTCAAATTTGGGTACTTGCATTGCTTGTGTTAAAACAAATACATTTAATGATGTATTAATGATTACAGAGCTGCATCAATTTGTACCTTTTAAATCTGGCTTAAATTCAGCTCAAAAATCATTTATGTGTATTTGCATTGTTAACATTTCTCTGTCTATATAAATTTAAGGTGATTCAACTACTGTGCTGTTTCATTATTGTTTTCCCGATAAAAGAAATCGGTCAATTTAATTGTTTTTAACTGGAATGTACAAAAGTAATCAGTGCCCAGTTATGTAAGCAGGGGGTGTCACATTTGCCCCCAAAACTGGTATTCTTTAAACAGTTTACTGTATTGCAAGACATTTTAAGATTTAAGGATCAGAGAAATGTAGATCCTTTATAATCACACTCAAAGGAACAAGCATCTGCTAAAACATGGACTATGGGCTGCTGTGCATTATGTCAAAATATGCTATGACGTTGAAAGTGTTTGCTTTGGAGGCAAACAATTATACAACTTTGTAAAGACCAAAAATAGCATGTGAAGTCTTTGACGTACATATAAATGCAAATCGATATTAATTTTGCTAAAGCACTGCCTTTGTATGAATAAAACATGGTTTCACCCTTTTTCAACTTTTGTTAAGTATCAACACCGTTGATCTCTTGCAACCACTTCCTGTCTACATGAATGCACTCCAGCAATAACTGCATGTGGTTTCACAGGGTAGGTTTACTGATGGCATCAACACTGAAACACTCCTGCGCAATGTGCATCAGCAAGGCCGATAGCAAGCCTTACAGAGCAATCAAAACAAACCGCCACTGTGATACCCTAGGATGATATCTTTGTGATGGCATGCAGTGTTTTGTATTCACTAAACATGCAAATCAGGACAGCAAAACAAAAAAGTAACAATGGTAAAATAAGTGTTTTAAAAATTCATTATAACGGAAGTAAACTTTCACATTACCTGTTAAAGCGTGGATCTGCATAGGCATCAGGAATATTAAGAACTTCACCTGTTCTTGCGACTTGACCTGCTATACCTTTCTCAATGGAGAATCTGCTTGAAACCAGAAAAAATAATTTTTGACTAGACTGATGTACTGCCTCTCCACAGTTGAAAAACAGAGTGGCCTTTACAAACCCTTTTGAATTTTCGTATAAATCTGACCTAACATAATCAGTAATAAGTCCTAAAACTAGATGAGATCCCAATTAAACAAAAGTAGTAAAAAACATAATGCTGGCTCATTTATTGTATTTATTTAGGAAATGTATCCATAGTTAGTGTAAATATGTGACCCCCTCTTAAGCAGATATAACAGTTAAGGGCCCATTTTTGTAGTGGCTGTAAAATTAATTGTATTAAGGCACCATATTGAAAATAATGGGCTCCCAGTGCACAAAAATATCACGAAAATCGGATGTGACACAAAATTTGGAATGTAACGCACCATGGTGCATTGCAGCATGCTGCAAAATGTTAGGGTGCCTTTCAAAATGAATAGTGAAGCAACACATGTAATGTGCACTACTGTGCGTTACCACAAGGCACACGTTTAAATGGGTCCCTAAAACTTTACAGTAACTGTTTTGCTGGACTGATCATCAGCCTAGAGGAATTTTAGCCCATTCCTCATCTCGCATGAATTGCCAGCTACAGGTTCTTTTTAAAATATTAAGTTCAGGACTTTGGTTTGGCCATTCCAAAGCCTAAACCTTTTTGTTATTTAACCCTTCTTTAGCATGTTTACTTATGTGTTTATGGTCACTGTCTTTTTGCATGACCCATTTTCTCTTGAGCTCAAGTTCATGGATGGATACCCAAATATTTTCCTGCAAAATGTACAGGATTTAGAAATGCAAGACAAAAATATTTTTTGGTCTCATCTATCTACAGAACATTTTCTAAAAGCCTTCGGAATGATCAATGTACTCTTAAACTGTAGATGGGCCTTAATGTTCTTATTGGATAGTTGTGGCTTTCTCCTTGCAGGCTTGCCATGCACTGTTACTGTTCAAATTGTCTCCTTACGGGGTGACTCATGAGCACTGACATTACCCAATGCAAGAGGAGCCTTTAGTTTTTCTTAGATGTTAGCCTGGGGTCTTTTGAGATTTTTGATTACTTGCTCTTGGTGTGATCTTTGTTGGCAGGCCACTCTTGGAAAGGGCAATGGTGTGGAAACTGTCAAACTTTTTACACAATCTGCCTGCTAGTGGTCAAGTATCACAAATGCTTTAGAAATCTTTTTTGTTAACTTTTCTGGTCTGATTAGCATAAATAAAATGTTTTTGCAGGTCCTTGAGAATCCCAGCCAAACCAAAATGTCTGTACTTTAAAATAAATGCACTCACACCTGTCATTGTGAAAAAATGGTGTAAAAAAGGAATTATAGAGAGAATATGGATGTCAATGTCTAAAGGTTTTATTAACAATGCACTGATACAATTTTTTCATGACCGAATACGAGTACCGATACTTTACCTCAAGTACTCGCCGATAACAATTACCGGTACTTTTTTTTAGTTTTTCTAAAATACAGACTAATAATTTTAGGACACCAGTAGAGTGCCGGGGCCCAGTCGCAGATGCCACCGCTGCAACCCTAGTAGTTCTGCCACTGACTGTAAGCTGTAGAGGGACCACAAATCCCAGCAATACATTATACAGCAAAGCACAATACCACCAGCTCGAGAGGACTACATATGCCAGCAATGCATTGTACAGCAATGCCTATCAGTATCAAAAATAGTCTCTCTCAGTGCTTCTCGGGATCCCAATGGTTTTAAGTAGTTGTATATTGTTTCCACAGATTCTTGGGGCTGCTCATAAAGAGGGATCAGGGCTTCCCTTGACAAATATCACTAAAATATACAAAGCAGAGCGCCCAGCCAACCAACATTCGGCACGTCAATTCAATCATGGTCTCTGATTGGTCTGAGAGGTTACCACAAAGCTGCTTCGTGGTCCCCAGCAAGTGCAGGAACTTACGGCAGCCGAATGTAGACAAAAATGTAAAGCGCCGGTATCGGCGCCTAGTATTGAGCATTTTCACGAGCACGAGTGCTCATGACAATGCCCAGTATTGGTGCATCCCTATAAAAAAAAAAAAAAATATCTTATGCCAATTATTTAATATTTAGGCTTATTAAGTACTTACAGGTTGTATAAAATGTATACCACACTCAAGACTGTCCCCCAAAACCACACACTTTGTGGTCCAATAAACTGCCTACACAAACTATTTGCTAATATGCTATAAAACCCTCCAATAAGGGAGGAAACATTCTGAATAACCCTCAGTATATAACAATGTGTCAAAAAAACTTAGACAACAAAACCTAGTATTGTAAGGTATTTTCAGATACACTGGATAGTTTTCAGGGAGATTTAAGGGAGATCATAGTAGATGAAGTACTTGAGCATCAACTGATATTGGAGAAAACTGCAGAATTTCTTAAAATACCTCATACCAATACCTTATTTCCACTTTGCAAGGAATTGTTCCCTTCGGTTAGTGAATGTTGTAAACAATCACTTTGCAAAAAATACCCAATCACATGCAAAGAAAATAAAAACTATGTATTTTTGCTTGCACATGATTGTATGATGGAAGTCAGCAGAACTTCACCTCATTCACTTAAAAAAAATCCCTGCAAAGTGAATATTTCCTTCCAAAGTGAACAACCTTTTTGCTTTTAGTTGTACCCAGAATGCCAGTATTTTCTAGGTTTCTCTATCTTTAGGCGTCAGGATTATGAAACTGCAACTAAACTACATAGGAAACCTACTGCTTGCAACAAAGTGTTGCATGCATATGGTGCACATACAAGACATCTAATTTGTAGGATCCCAGTTGGTCATTAAATATGTATTAGGCACAACTGCACCAATAATGATGACTTGGAAGTGCTTTAAGTCAAGGCAAAGTATATTTACTTACTAAAAGACACCAGTAGACCTGGCCTTAATGATTAATTAGGTTTTGCGTCTTTCCTTTAGTTTGATATAGATATTCAATATATTTATCATTACCTTTGGGTCCTAGAATATGAACCCCCTTCCCACAGAATTCATACTTTAATATATGGCAGTTTTGTTGTCATGTTTTTCTTGTCTCCTTATCCATTTTTGTTTCATTTAGATCAGAGGTTCCCATAATTATTTGGCCTACTGCACACTTTTCAGGAAAAAAAAAAAATACTCAGAGCCCCCTGAAAATCTACATTTTTTAAGCGAACAAACAGAACGTGGCAGTGACAAATTTGCATTCTTTTATTAATCTATATTTCTACCTACATCCTACAACATAGTAAAACAATATGTTGTTCTAAATAAGACACCTTAAAGCTGAAATTATACAAAAATGTCACCATAGTAAAATTCGTAATACACAGAAAATTAAGATAATGAAGAATATTAAAATAAAAATGCACGTAACAATAAAATTAATCCTAATGAGAAGGATGAACCTGTTGTGCTGCAATCAATTTATTAATGTTGGGCTCTATTTTTGTCAACAGCATTCTTAAAGCATGGCAATCAGCTATTTGCAGTCGGTTTAATTTTTTTAGTTAACAGATTTGTGACTGCAATGAACCAACGTTCCACCAAATATGATGAAGGAAATGCAATTAAACATTTGTACTATAGCTCATCATCCAGGATTAAGTGTAGGCTTTTGCAGCCAGAACTATCCATCTTTAAATTTAAATTTCAATCCCTCATTTGTTGTTACTTCTTCAGTTCTTGCAATTTTGTTTCCTTTGTTTCCCTGGGATGATAGGTGCAGGTTCACTGTCCTGTGTGCTCTATTACAGCTTTACAAATGGTGGGTTGAGCTTCGGGTGCTAGCAATGTTAGTGGCCTTGTGTCACATGCCAGCACCTGAGCATAAGTTTCACATCGTACGCATGCTATCTAAGCTCGGACACTGGCAAGACCTTAGATGCTCCCACTTTTTGCATGGGACAATTTCTGGGGTACAAGCTATGTTGGTCTCATAATCATATTCCCCCTAACCACAATTTCCAGTGGTGAATAAATACCACCAAAAGAAAGCTCTATCTGTCCCCAAAAAAGGGTATAAAATTCATTTCAGTACAGCGCTGCATGACGGAATAAATGTCAGTTAAAGTACCGCAGCGCTGAATACTGAAAAATGGCCTGGATGGGAAGGGGGTTTAACACCGCGGATGTCAACTGGTTAAATAACCTCCTCCTCAGTCCATTTGGGAAACCCCCATGATTATAAGGGGAGAGTTTATTCTATTTTTCCCTGCTTTATTTCCTATTTTTGTGGTTTGGGGGACAGTTTTGAAATTTTGGTTCAAAATATATACACGGTGTAATTACTTTATAAGCCTTATATTAAATAATCAGCATAAGATGACATTTTTAGAATTTCTTTTTGATAAATATATGTATACTTATCGTGTTTTACATGTTCATGCTAGTTTTAGGTTTGGACCACTGAGTAGCCAATATTCTACCAATTTTACCTAAAAGCAAAGTGCAGCACCCTAAAGTACCTATCACCAATATAAAAGTTATATAGACCTAACCATATATAAAAAGATAACAGTGGTTACATCCATCTAAAAAAAAAAAATTGCCTCCACATCAACAGTGTAGTAAAAGTGTATTTAACATTTTAGGCAGAATCTCCGTTTGTAGTGGACTTAAATGAAGATATTTTAGTCAGGTTGAACATACTTTGTATGCCCTCAAAAGGATAAACTTCTGAACTTCCACATTTCTTAATCTCTCAAGAGATGTGGAAGATCAGAAGTTTTACTTTAACCCAGTCCTGAAGAACTAGAGATTGACTGCAAAATGCATCAACATGGCTTTATAGAGATGATCTTCTGTCTATGGCATGCTTTACATGCTACAGTAGTCAGAATCAAATATAAAAATACACCACTTTTATGGATAAATGTCCTTGTGATTTTTTCATATAGTCTGTTAAACTTATATGTAGCACTGAGGAAATATGGACTTCGATACAATAAGCTTTATTTTCCACGCACCCTTTGTCTATGAAATAGTAGCACCTGAAGAATATACATAATTTTAAAGTGTATTTCCACTGTTGCAAAAATATTGGGATAACACCTATTTAATATTTGTTACATGTCCTCATTCCCATAGCATAAGTAAAACATGCATCTAGCAGTTTAAATTGTTTTTTTATTGGGTTAGGGTTTCTTGGCTCTTTAAAAGGTTGACACTTCTACTTGCTTCTCATTTTGTAATGTTAGGAGGGGCTGTGAGGGGTTAAATGATTACAACCCTGGCTTCTGTACTCAAATGTTAAGCTAATGGGAGAAACACAATCCTTAATGTCAGTCCTAAGTCTTTATATAAAGGACAGATCACTGTGAAGGTGCTGAGAAAAACCTGGAATCAGCCAAGTTGCCTGCAACACAACAATTTTTCATGTTGTGTGAATAAGAACACAAACGTGTAGAGGGTTTTCTCAAATTTGACTGCAAATTGGAAATACACTTTAAATCTATGTAATGCCACGCCTTCCATTTATGGTATATCTGTAATGGTAGACTCACACAGGTATACCACACACAAATATGCAACTTTGAGTCATTTTCCTATATAAATAAATGCGCAAGTATAGTGCTTTTGACTTCTGATTTTAGACTTGAGTGAAAAACAATTCAAGTTTCAGAACGTGTTGCTGCAGAAATATTGAAAATTAAAAATGTTCACAAATATTAAAGCGCCGCTGTAAACCGTAATTTTACTTGAAAACAAATGCCATGAGAAACAGTCTAATCTCTGATAGAACTACTACCGTATAATGATAAATTTATGACATAAAATAGGGGTGTGACTGGTCTGATCTTAACGGGAGATCACAGAGAAGATTTCAGTAATTTCTTTAGGATTTTAAAAGGTTAGACAGTGTGGCCCTATTTGTGCTAATGAAGTTAAAAAGGTTCTATATAATAGTTTCACCTTATTTCTTTGGTCTTTTTAAAAACAGGTTTTCCTTCATCCTCTTCACCGATATCAAAAAGGTCAGAATATAATTCTTTGTTTTTGTGGTCAACCTGAAAAAGTGCACAGCGATCTGCATTCACCAGGTTCTTTGCATATACCTGGAACAAGAAAGAAAAAATCAGCATGGTTTTAATTAGCTAATTTTTTTGTCCTAACCAACAGAGCTCAATAAGAGTTAAGACCGCTTCAGAGGGCTGTGCTCCATTTCCATAAATCAAAGCCTGGCGTAAGCAGAGCACATGCATACTATGAAATTCCACCTACACAAGCCCTAATACTGGGCAAAGATTGAAGAGGATGCATTCAAACAAAAAGGTAACATTTTGCATAGTTCAATGCCAAATCAAGATCAAGATTCTAGGCTGTATACAGTGCTTTGCATACACATTATATTGCCAAAAGTATTGGGACGCCGTCGTTTACAAGCACATGAACTTTAATGGCATCCCAGTCTCAGTCTGTAGGGTTCAATATTGAGGTGGCCCACCCTTTGCAACTATAACAGCTTCAACTCATCTGGGAAGGCTGTCCACAAGGTTTAAGAGTGTGTCTATAGGAGTGGTTGACCATTTGTGATGTCAGGTACTGATGTTGGAGGAGAATGCTGGGCTCGCAGTCCCTGCTCTAATTCATCCCAAAAGGGGTTCTATCGGGTTGAGGTCAGGACTCTGTGCAGTTTGGTCAAGTTCCTCCACCCCAAACTCGCTCATCCATGTCTTTATGGACCTTGGTTTGTGCACTGGTCCACAGTCATGTTGGAACAGGAAGAGGCCATCCCCAAACTGTTCCCACAAAGTTGGGAGCATGAAATTGTTCAAAATCTCTTGGTATGCTGAAGCCTTAAGAGTTCCCTTCACTGGAACTAAGGGGCCAAGCCCAACCCCTGAAAAACAACCCCACACCATAATCCTCCCACCACCAAACTTTAGACTTGGCACAATGCAGTCAGGCAAGTACCGTTCTCCTGGCAACTGCCCAACCCAGACACGTCCATAGGATTGCCAGACAAAGTGTGATTTGTCACTCCAGAGAACACGTTTCCACTTCTCTAGAGTCCGGTGGCGGTGTGCTTTACACCACTGCATCCGATGCTTTGCATTGCACTTGGTGACGTAAGGCTTGGATGCAGCTGCTCGGCCATGGAAACCCATTCCATGAAGCTCTCATGGAATAACTGCTGTTATGCCACTCTGAAGACCACATGAGGTTTGGAGGTCTGTAGCTATTGACTCTGCAGACAGTTGGCGACTCCTGCACACTGTGCGCTTCAGCATGCGGTGGCCCCGCTCTGTACTTTTACGTGGCCTACCACTTCGTGGCTGAGTTGCTGTTGTTCCCAGTTGCTTACACTTTGTTATAATACCACTAACAGTTGACCATGGAATATTTAGTAGCAAGGAAATGTCACGGATGGACTTATTGCACAGGTGGCAACCTATCACTGTACCATGCTTGAATACACTGAGCTCCTGAGAGCGACCCATTCTTTCACAATTGTTTGTAGAAGCAGTCTGCATGCCTAGGTGCTTGATTGTATACACCTGTGGCTATGGAGGTGATTGGAACACCTGAATCCAATGATTTGGAGGGGTGTCCCAATAATTTTGTCAATATAGTGTATATTCACTCCCTTTGGAACTTTCCACAATTTGTAGAATTACACTATGAAATTATAATGGATTATATTGGGATGAATTAATGCATGTTATAAATTAACTTTAAAATACATCAAGCCTTTTATGACATATTTGTTTAATGGTGTGGGCATTGCTGGTGTCATTTGGATTGGATTTGGACTGCTTTTGGGAATGTGGGCATGCACTTTAGTTACCATCTACTGCTGGATAGCATGTTGCACTTCTGCTTTAGTTGTATTCAATTGGGATGTTACACATTTTACTCTCAACATTCTTATAATTTGAATATTTCTTGTGGTGAGACAAAAGGTAATTAGGCAAAAAAGCAAATGTGTTGGTTACATTAGTATTCACCTTCCTGAGGTCAGCACTTGGTGAAACCACCTTTGGGTACATTTACAGCTGCAAGCCTTTTGGGATATGCAAGTACCAGCATAACACCTGTATCCTGCAATTCTTCTTGGCTATATTGCCCAAGTTAGACCTCAGTTTCCTTTAGCTTCACAATTGAAATGAGGTCTGTCTGAGCTTTGACTGGGCCAAGACATTTAAGTCCTTCATTTCAAAACTGCAGTGTTGTATTGGCTATGGGTTTAGGTTGCATGCCTATCCTATTCTCCAGTTACCCAAATATGGAAATATTCTCTTTTTAAACTATCCTCTATTTGATTTCATCCATATTGCTCTCAATCCTGATCAGTTTCCCAAAAAAAGAATCTACACAGCATGATGCCATCACCACAATTCTTCACTATAGCAATGGCTTTCCAAAAGAAAACAGCAGCACTGGCTGTTGGCAATTACAGTGCTTTGCACCAAGACTACAAAGCTCTGTCTTTGTCTCATTAGGCTATAGAATCGTTTTCTACATGTTCACTCTGTCTCCTACAGCTCTTTAGCAAATTCCAAACTGGGACTAGATATAGGTTTTTGTCAGCACTGGTTTCCTTTTGCCCATTCTTCCATAAAGTCCAGCTTTGTAGAATGCCTGGGTGGTAGTGTCTCATGGACAGTTTCCCCATTCTCATTTGTGGATCTCTGCAGCTTCTTAAGTCCAAATAAACATTTTTTCAGATTAAATAAGCTAAATATATTCCAGGTGCATCAAAACAACCTGGGCAAAATCTCTGCAATCTGCAGCTCATTGTGACTGCTGATTGAATTGAAGAACGCTAGCTCTTACTCAGTAGGGGATATGCAGGACCTCTGCAGAGAGACCACTGCTTCTAAGCAGAGAGCAAAGGTCCTTCTCTACAGCATGTTGGTAGAGACCGCCTTTTCCATTCGTAAGAAAAAAACACACTGAAGGGAATTTATCAAAACTGGAGCAGACAAAATCTGGAGCAGCTGTGCATGGCAACCAATCAGCATCCAACTTTCATTTTCAAATCTTAACTGAACAAACTGAAGAGAACAGCTGATTGGTTGCCATGCACTGCTGCTCCAGATTTTGGCTGCTCCAGTTTTGATGAATTTGGCTGCTCCAGTTATGATGAAAAATAGAGCAAAGGGCTTGCTCTATTTTTTGCGTTTGCAGTGGAACGGAGGCAAAGTTTTGCCACGCGTCCGATCGCACTGCGGGCAGGGGGACATGGAAGCGGTGCCATTGAATTCAATGCACTGCCACGCCCCCTCTCGCCCCAGAACGCGGGGGAAGTTTCTTAGCAATCGCGGTGCATTCCAACAGCTACCGCTCTGGAACGCACACGTTTTCGGTGTGAACAAGCCCTTAAGGTACCTATTCACTTTAAATGGGCCCTTAACAAACCTTTATCCACAAACATGCCTGCACTTCTTTTGGGCAACACAGTGCAACGCAATGCACAATTCATTCACATGTGTGCATTGGGGTGTGCTGAACAGAAGGTGAAACTGTTTACACTGTATACATGTGTAAATGACCATCCACAATAAATGGCAACACACTTACTGTATATTACTTGCGCTGCATGCAGGATAATAATGTGAGCATAGGTGTGTAGGGAGCATTTTACAGGATTGATGGTGGCTGGACAGTCTATTAAAGCCCATAGAGATTCTCGAACATGCCATCCCTGGAAAAATTCAATTATCATGGTGCAGACCAATTTTTTTCAATAAATGTTGGGAGCAAAGTGGCAGCTTCAAAGTAAAGCCACTCATTACAATTTGGATCCTAATCAGATATGAAGACTACTGTATTTTGCAATTAGTGCTTTAATTTAATAAACTTGTGTTAGTTGTAAATGTTTTCCATATAAGATACATTTTAGAATATTTCTTAAACTAATGGTCCGTGAAATAGAGGGATGAAAACACATTTCTTACCATAATATGTTCAAGTAAAGAATCTATTGCAACTATGTTATCAAAGTAGGTCCTGCAAAAGATAACAAATGACTTGTAATAAAAAAAAAGAATTATAAACAATTGTAATAATAGGATCACTATGCTTTGAGAAAGCAAACAAATTTAAAGCTATAGTATTGAGGTTAAATTTCAGGTATAGTTTTTACTTTGATAGAGTAGGGAAAGGTTAAAACCTGTCAGGTTTTTTCCCCCTGCCATCTGTGCCTCATTGGAAAGACTTCCCTTACCTTCCTATCCTGTATACACAACAAGAGGAAATCTCCCCATAGTTATATAGCTGTCATTGGAAAAAGAATATTTCCTCTCTGTTGCTGTTTTGGCAAACACATAAAATTTTGGATTCTCCCTCAATGTTTGTTTTGGTAGAAGTAGTCACCAGGACAAAAAGAGAGTGAATCTTACCATCAGGGACACAGACAGTAATACAATAATGGCTATAGATCTATCTTTTCTCCACATCAACTGTATATAGCACATGGATTTTAGTAAACTTTTATGTAGATCTTTTTTTTTTGCTTCTGTTCCTTCAGCATCCCTAATCACTGGATACTCTTCTACTGACTATTGCAAGCAACTTCATTTTCTAAATTTAAGCTACAACATAATTAGCTGGATATGGACAGCATTTGTAGTGCTTTCTGTATCTCTATTTTAAGGAGATTGCCTTTACATTCCTATATGGTCATATGGTCACCAGAACTGGAAGAGGGAACAGTACCTCAAACTGAAGCACAGACGACACAATTTTATTTGAGGTGAAACTAAACCTAAACGTGCCCATACACCTTACGATTATCGGACGAAACGTTTCGTCCGATCGAATAGTCGTACGATTTTCGTACGGCAGCCCCATCCTCCCCCGATAATCGCAAGATCAATTTAGCCATAATTAACGAAAAGCACCTGGGCGAAATGCGGTAATTGATTTGCCGTATTTTCGTTAGCGCAAGCGCAGTGTAGATCGTTCGACTTTTGACGGACAGAAACGCCAGCAACCTTACGACAATCGTACGATCTAGCAAAGTTTTCAAACATGCTTGACCGTCAAAAGTCGTACGATTGTACAGTAATGTCGGTCGGACACTGCAATGCACACATACGATTATCGGACGAAAAGTCGATCGCATACGAAAATCGTCCGATAATCGTAAGGTGTATGGGCACCTTAAGAGTTAAAATGTAAAAATGCTTTTTAGCCCGTTTTTTTACAGAAATGTAGCTCATGTGTGTATTACTTAGCTCTAGATCCTCAAATCATCTCTGAATTGGTGCTGACACTGTTTCCTACTGGAGTGTGGCTACTTTTGTTCCCCATGGTCCCAGTGTGTGTTGTAAAGTCAAAAAGCTCACTCCTGTGATAGACTACAATCCCACATTTACTTTACTAATTTGTATTGCCATTATAGTCTATCGTGGGAGCGAGTAGTGCTGCAACAACTAATCGACTAAATCGATTATAATCGATTATTGAAAAAGTTGTCAACGTTTTCAATAATCGATTAATAATCTTCCGATTAGTTGGCCCTGTTCACGGCTCCACACACGCTGCGCGCCGCACCTCCTCCCCACCTCACGCTTGCCGCTGCCAGACCCGCATCCACACCTCCTCCCCGCCTCACACTCACCGCCGGCCCACATCCATGATCGGCATAGGGAGGTGGGGAGAAGGAGGAGCAGGTATGGGGGGATAATAGCCGCCGATAGACAGGCCCGATCTCAGAAGCAAGTTGCAAGGAAGACTGCTCAGGTAAGACTGCACTTTCCCACACATGGTGCTCTATTATGTATTGCTGGGATTTATATTCCTTCCTCTACAGCTGATGGTACATTGCTCTGTATAGTATACAGCACAATATACCATCAGCTATAGAGGAATACAAATCCCAGCAATACATTATACACTGTATGTATAATATATTGCTGGTATTTGTTGTATTCCTATATAGCTGGTGGTATTCTGCATTGCGCTGTATAGAGGACTACAAATCCAAGCAATAATACATTATATAGTGGCACAATGCAGAATACCACCAGCTATAGAGGACTACAAAACCCAGCAATAATACATTATACAGCAGAATGCAGAATACCGCCAGCTAAAATGTACTATTGCTGGGATTTGTTATATTCCTCTATAGCTGGTGATATTCTGCATTGTGCTGTATAATGTACTATTGCTGGGTTTTGTAGTCCTCTATAGCCAGTGCCATTCTGTATTCATTGCTGTATAATTTTACACTTTCCATTTCACTACAGAAAAGGGAAGTGTACTGGAAGGACTAGAACCCTAAACTTCAGAAGGGCCAACTTTTATAAGCTGCGCAACCTAGTTGGGCAAGTAAAATGGGAAAACTTATTTCAAAACCTAAACACAGACCAGATGTGGGATTGTTTTAAAAACACACTACATATTGCTACTTCAAAGTGTATACCTTTAGGGAGCAAAAATAAAAGATCAAAGACTAAACC